GGTGTCAGTTGGACATGTCTTTAATCCCAGCACTCAAGAGACGGAGGCTTGCAGATCTCTGAGTTCTAGGCAGTTCTGTTCAGGCAAGGTTGAGTCCAGTGAGTTGAGAGGCAGAGCAGTGGAGTTGAGTTTGTGGCAGTTCAGTTTACGGGACTCAGTGGCAGTTTTTACCTGGAGAGTTTTACAGAGACTGACTGAAGAGAGAGCAAGCTAGAAATGGGTGAAGACAGACGATGAGAACAGATTGCCAAAGTTAGTTTGAGGCTAAGCAGAGCAATTCAGTCGGAAGCTGAGAGAGAAGCCAGACGAAATTAGTCAGTTTTGAGCCTTTTAACAAAGATCCTAAGTGCAGAGACAGTGTCTTACCTACCTCTCTGTGACCTGCTGGCTTAGCCTCTGTCTGGTATCTCACTGAATAGACCCTCAAATCCCCTTAGCACTAGGGGAGCACAGCAGTCTGTTCCCAAAGCCCTTCCTTCATACCCCAAGTTGTTCTCCATCACCCAAGGCTCCTTGACAAAACTCCAAACTCCTTTCTCACTTCCAGCCCCTCTCCTCACGTGCCTTCTCTCTTTAGTTCTTGGGTAGCTCTTTGCTTAGGCTCTGACCACTCCTCAGACTCCTAAGTTCTTTCAGAATGGAATTTCCTTTGGCAGATGGGAAGGAGGGGGACATTTGCATTGCTAATATTTCTTGCTCCATCACAGGTCTATCCATTCCAAAACAGCTGGTCCAGAGGCTCAGCTGATGCTCCAGAAGCAGCAGGGCAGGGCAACCCAAGCAGGAACGTCCTACGTCTCTCTGTGCCCTGGCCCTCTGACTAGAACCATCTACCATAACTGCGACCAGATCTGCTACAGCCTTATGAAGCATTTGTGACTTCTCGAACTTGTGTCTCTAAAGAACATTTTTTTCTAAATGACAGGTAGAGTGATCTTTCAAAAAGGTAACCAGGGACAGCTGGCTGGGCAGTGGTGGTGCACAAGCCTTTAATCCCAGCATTTGGCAGGCAGAGGCAGGTGGATTTCTGTGAGTTCGAGGCCAGCCTGGTCTACAGAGTGAGTTCCAGAACAGGCAGGGCTATGTCAAGAGACCTTGCCTCAAAAACAAACAAACAAACAAACAAAACTCCCCAAACAAAAAAAAAATGTGGTGTTGCTTTCTTCTATTGCTTAACACCCTTTAGTGGTTTCCTGTCCCCTTACACCCAGCTTCAGACTTCCTACCCTGCTTTTAGAGCAAAGGTTTGGCTCCTGGTGGCATCTTCCCTCACCCACCGGGCTCCAGCCATGCTGGGGAACCTTCCTAATCCCATTGGCGATGCCCTCAGTTTAGAGCACCCTTTTCTCTGATCTTCACATGACCATAACGTCATAAATGCTGTAAATTTCCCCTCCATGGTGAGGCTCCCCGTGACCTCCTGGTCGACAGGACAGTATTCCCTGGAGCACTCCCTTCCACCGCCCGAGTTTCTGTTCTGGCTACTTTACTGTTGCAGAGCAAAGTGTTCCAAGACAATCTCCCCTGACTCCACCAGTCAGGAAAGGAAGCTGGGCATGGCGGGAACAGTTTGTCTTTGCTCTGTGAGGTCTGGGCCCTCAGTTGAGTCTTATAAACTCCTTTCTAATTTTTATTTTGTTTTAATTTTTTAAGAAAATATTTCTTTAGGGGCTGGAGAGATGGCTCAGCTGTTAAGTGCACTGGCTGCTCTCTCAAAGGACCCACATGGAATTCTCAGCACCCACATGGCAGCTCATAACTGCCTATAATTCCAGTTCCAGGGAATCTGTCACCCTCAAAAAGACATACATGCAGGCAAAGCACCAGTACACATAAAAATCATTTTTTAAAAATTAAAAAAATTATTTATTTTGTCTTACATGTATGGAAGTTTTGCTTGTATGCCCTCCTTCCTTCCTTCCTTCCTTCCTTCCTTCCTTCCTTCCTTCCTTCCTTCCTTCCTTCCTTCCTTCTTTTCCTTCCTTCCTTCTTGCCTGGTGCCTGCAGAGATAAGAAGATGGAACAGAACATGGGTGTTCTTTCCTGTTGAGCCCTCAATCTAGCCCCATAAACTTTATTTTTAATTATGTGTATATGTGTGGGTCTGTGCACACCAATGCTGACGCCCTGGGGCCCAGAGGCCTTGTATACTCGAGACCTGGAATTACAGGTGATTATGAGCCACACAAGGTGGGTTTTAGGTATTAAACTCAGTTCCTGTGCAAGAGAAGAGCAGCATGTGCTCTTAACCACTGAGCCCTCCGTCCAGTATCCTGAGGAGTCAGTGAGGCAATATTACTATTATTACAAGTGTGTGTGTATGCGTGCAGGTGCACAGATGTGATATTTGAACATGTGTGGCACATGTGCCACAGCACACATGTGTGGAAGTCACAAGACAGCTTGTGGGATGAGCTAATTCTCTCTTTCTACCCTTTTGCAGGTTCCAAGGATTCGTCTGAGGTCGCCAAGTGTGGTGGCTTGAATAGGAATGGCCCAGACAGACTCATGTGTTTGAACGCTTGGCCACAGGGAGTGGCCCTGTTTGGAGGTGTGGCCTTGTTAGAGGAGGTATGGTCTTGCTGGAGAAAGTGTGTCCCTGTGGAGGCGGGCTTTGAGGTCTCAGTGATGCCCAAGCCACTCCTAGTAGGACAATCTCCTGCTGCCTTAGGATCAAGATGTAGAACTCTCAGCTCCTTCTCCAGCACCGTGTCTGCCTGCACGCCGCTGTGCTGAAAATGGACTAAACCTCTGAACCTGTAAGCCAGCCTCAACTAAATGTTGTCCTTTAGAAGAGTTGCCGTGGTCATGGTGTCTCTTCACAGCAATAGAAACCCTAACTAAGACAAGAACTTTTCAAGATAGGCAGCTTTACCTGATGAGCCATCTTGGCAACCCTTCTTAAAATATTTCTGTTTCTTCTCCCCACATCCATCTGTCTGTCTATCTATCTATCTATCTATCTATCTACCTACCTATCTTTCTGCCTGTCTATCTGTCTATTACATAACTATCTACTTATCTACCTATCATCTACGTATCCACCTTTATACCTATCGACCTATCTGCCTTTCTAATGTGTATGAGCGTTTTGCCTGTGTTTATGTCTGTGAGCCTCATGGATGCCTGGTTCCTGAAAAAGCCAGAAACGGATGCTAGATTTCCTGGAACTAGAGTTACAGACAGTTGTGAGTTGTCATGTATGGAGCTGGAAATGGAACCCAAGTCCTCTGAGGGAGCAGCCTGCAGGCTCTTAACCACTGAACCGTCTCACCAGATTCTTCCCCTACCCCTTCAAACTATCTCTTAATGAATCTTTTAGAAAAGTGTTTCTGGTCCCAAATTGTTTCTTGTTTTAGAATTTTGGGTGCTGAAGAACCCCTCCCCTTCCCTTAGCTTTGAGTCCAGCCATCAATTCGTGCAATTGAAATGAACCCCTCTACCCTCTAACACACAACACTGTCCAATCAGAATGCAGGGGGAAGGGCGTGTGCGCTCTGTTCCCCACAGCTCCTCAGAGACTGCTCTTCAGTGGTTTTCCACCGGTGAGTGACAATCCCATTACACAGGCCCCTGAGGACCCAGATGACCTGAAAGGACCAGCAATTTGGTCAAATGCACCCATCATGATGTTCCTTCCCTAACTGTTCCTGCAGTGAACACCCTAGCCAAGGACAAGGATTTCTTCTTCTAACCCAGGAACTGCCCTGCTCTCTGTCTACGTTACTGCAGAGGTTGCTGGCCTGGGTGGGAGCTGATGCTACAGGGAGGGGCTGGGGTCCTCAGGGCCCGGCCAGAGGACTGAGTGAGGAGGGAGGGGTACTTTCCTCAGTGAATGAAGCCAAAAACAATGCCTTTGAACAGCTGCAGCTGAACAGAGAAGGAAGAAAGTCATTTCTTTAGCTGAGTCCCCCGGGGCCAGCCCACACCCTCTCTGATCCCTAGCCAGGAGCACATGCTTACTGAGCTGCTGGACTGTCCTCCAGGGCTCCAGGCCTCCGTGAACAGACAAGTGGAGGGCAGCTGCCTGCACAGAGCTCCTCTACCCCACTCACCATCATGCTGTCCACCCAAAGCCTAGAGCAGCGGTTCTCAAGCTGTAGGCTACAGCCACCGTAAAACTCCTATTTACGATGATCTTAGGGACCGAAACGCTGCTCAGTAGCAAAATTACAAGTATGAGGTAGCAATCAAAATAATTTCATGGTTGGGAGTCACTATAACATGAGGAACTGTATTAAAGGGTCACAGTGTTAGGAAGGTTGAGAACCATTGACCTATAGGCAGGTCCCTTTCTGCCCCCTGAGCTCCTGTGTGTTTCAACCTGAAGAATAAAGCAGGGCCTTTCTAGCAGTGCAGACACCATGAAATCTCACACCACCTCATGGGTCAGGAGCAGGTGGGTGTCTGTTAGGAATACATTCCCCCCAACCCCACCCCAGAGCAAAAGGTAAAGGAAGTTGAGAGGCAAAAAGAAGAAGCTGACGGCAGAACCAGGTATCCAGAGGCCCAAGTAATGAGGGGACATTGTGCTTCAGCAAGCCTGGGACAGGATGTGCCCCCTGAGGCATGAGGACCCTAGGGACCCCACTATCCAGAATCTATGCTCCAGGCTGGGTGTGGGGTGGCCTTATGTTGGGAGATTGGGGCCTTGTTCTTGTGTTGGATGGGGCTTAGAGGATGCTTGAGCCAGACCTCTTCTCAACTATTAGATGTAAAACTATCTGTGTGGGGCAGAGTGGACTCCAGGGGCACCCCTGAAATAGCGACAGTATCTGAAGACCATCCAGAGCCACTGAGACAGTGACTCCTTTAACATGTGTCAAAGACAGAGAGGTCTACACAAGGCTGAATGAGTGTCACTTGGCAAGTCTGACTTCCAGCCCAGTGCTATTTTGCCTCTGCGTCATTCATTCATCATTCATTCTGCCTTCTCAGGCCTCCGTCTTCTGCTCTCCCCACTGCCCCGGAAGACACACATCCTAGACAGGTTGGTTCCAGACTAGAATGCTTTATTCAAGAGAATCTGGCTTGGCAGTTAGACAGTCCCGGCACAAGACAACGGATGGGCTGCAAGGGCCCTCCGGGGATCTGCTCGCTTTCCTTTGCACGCCCCTGACTCACAGCTATCAAAGTTCAACAACCTACTGGGCTATTACTCATCATTCATCCCGCCCTCTGTTCAGCCCCCAGGCCACTCTGCCTGTGTCTCCGAGAGGGGACAGGGCGGTGGTGCTCTGTGAAGGGTGATGGCATGAACTTGTAGGCTGAAAGGCAAAGCCCACAGGCAAGTTATGTCCTCTTGGGCCCAAAGCCCTGTCCTGGTCTTCAGGATAAACCGTTGACCCTAGCAGCAGGAGGACATGGCTGAGTCCCCACTACATGCGTCAATGCAGCCAGGGCCAGAGCTGCTGTCTGGGTGGACCCGGGAGCCAGGGCAGGTACTGGCCCTCCTCTCTTCTTCTGCAGTTCCCTGGAGACTCAGGACCTCTTGGTGCCTGGCTTGCTCCTGGCAAGGCCATGTCCATGTCTTGCTTCTTCCCAAGCCGAAGCTCCCACGGATCCGTGGCTGGCTTCCTTCTTTCTCTCACGTTCTGTTTAAGGCACTGAATTCCTGAGGGTTCTGTCCTTCCATGCCCCTTATCTTGGAGGGAGCAAGTCATTCAGCAGGGACAAGTTGGCTAATAAATAGAGGGTAGGTACCAGCAGGGAGGGCTCTGAGAGGGTGAAGGTAATAAATATATGAGCTGGGTGCGGGAAGGTCTCTCCTCCGAGTGGCTGGTTACCTCCGGGGAAACAGCATCACCTGCTGGAGACCAAACAGACAAGTCAGGGAAATCTAGATGCTGTGGAGGACAATGTCCCCTCCTATAGCAGGGCCTGGATCCAGAGGGACAAAGAACAGCATCCTGGGAAGCCTGCTCATACCCAGGCCAGCAAGCAGCTGCCCCCTTGCCGAGTGCCTGCTCAGGGGCCCAGTTTTGTGCCAGGCACTGTCTGGTTCACCCTTCGCCACACCCCACAAGGACGTTACCCTTTCACGGATGCGGAGCACAGGCTCAGGGAGAGTAAGGACCTTGCCTGAGATTGCACAAACACTGCATGGTAGAGACAGATGAAGCCTGTCTGGCACCTGTAACACTGTCTCTGGTTGCCCGCCCCAAGGCAACAATCTTCACACAAACGTTCCCGAAGCTGGAGAATGGGTGGTCGTGGTTTTGTTGTTTGAATTATGTATATTATGTATGTGTGTTTGTTTGTGACACTGGGGTTGAACTCGGGGTCTTAGCCACTGTAAGCAGCTTCCTATGACTGAGCTACAAACCCATTCCAAAAAGAGGCGTTTAAAAAAAAAATCAGTTTCCAGCCTCCTTGGATATTCTCTTTAACTTTGTGTGAGGAAGTGCCTGAGGCTTGCTGTCCTCCCTACAGGCACCCTTACCCCTTAAAGAGGGGTGTTCCGAACCCAACTGTTTGTTAATATGATTGTAAAAGGTTAAAAAAATCTAGGTGGTAGTGACATACACCTTTAATCCCAGAACTAAAGAGGCAGAGGCAGGAGGATCTCTGTGAGTGAGTTCCTGGATAGCCAAGGTTACACAGAGAAACCCTGTCTTAAAAAAAAGAAACAAAATAAATAAATAAAAAATAAAAAAGGGGGGGGTTTACAGTGGCACATGGCTGTAATCCCAACATTGAGGCAGGAGGATTGTTACAGGTTTAAAGCTAGCTTGGGCTACATAGCACTCTATCTAAAAGACAACCAAAAACCCTCTTCCCCACAAATGTTCAAGGCCAACCTAAAATGAAGCAAGAGGCACATGAGCTTTTGAAATGTTTTTGGGAGATACCTAAACAAGACATCCGAAAATGTATATCCGAGAAAGGGCATGGTAGCCCCTGATGTCTGTGGCGCCTGTGGAACATTCAACGCTCATGAGCTTGGCTACCAGGTGGCGGTGTCCCTTCCGTGCTCATCCCCTTCCAGCTACCCTGTATCCTCCAGCCTGCTGTCCCAGCTATGAAGCAAGGATGGACAAGGAACAGAGAGGGGAGAGGAAGGCAGAGATCCTGAGACAGAGAGACACACTGGCCTGGAACTGGAGAGGGGAACCAGAGCAGGGGCTTCCTGGAAGTGGCCAAACTATGTAGCAGAAGGCAAGCCCTGGAAGAGCGGGGAATGCTGTCACCCATGTGCCTGGCACACGGCAGTTCTTGGCGGACGTCTGCAGAAGAGCCCAATGTTTGCTGTGCTCCCAGCCCCGTCATTTCACTAGGAAAGTTATTTGCTTAAGGCCACTTAGAGATAAGGGACAAGAACTAAAGTCCCTTGATGCGCCTTGGAATATAAAAGACATGCATCCCCTGTTCTTGTTCCAAGATCTCATCCCAGCTTTGCCTCTCCCCACCCTGACCATGGACCCTTGCTGCTAGGGCAGCTTCCCCCTTCCCATCCCGTAGCCCCAACCATTTTGCCAGCCCTGAGCACACTCACAGGTGGGGTTCCTCAGTCTGTGGGTTTCTGCTTCTCTTTCTTCCTCTTCCCCTTGATCTTCCTCCTGCAATAAGCCAAATCGTCAGGTTCCTCCTGCTAAGGACAGTGGCTGGCAGGCCCAACGATCGCCCTGAGCCCCAGTCAGTACGCTTACCTTTCTGATCTCACCTTCTCCTGAATAGGCCTAGGGAAACAGAAAGATGGAGGAGAGAAGAGTAAGTGTGTGCTTCCGGGCAACCAATGTCCCCTAGAGTTCCTAGGTCCTGCTAGTGCAGTCGTTTCAGATCCACTAGGGGGCAGCATAGAGCTGGTGAAAGCGCTGTAGCAAGAAGCCCTAGCCCTCACGCTCCTGCCCTACCTAGGTCCTGGCAACCCCCAGAGAGGTCCGAGTTGCCCTCCCCAACCCCACCGGGAGGGAGGAGAGCTTTTCATTACATTTTTTTCTGCTTGCTCTAGCCTCTTGGCATCAAATCTTGGATCTTTTTTACTCTGTTCTCTGCTGTTTTAGTTTCTCTGTTCACTTCCCCCCCCACACCCCCACACCCCCCCCGTTCCTTTCTTGGTGCATTATGGGAGTTCCCTCAAGGAACGTCAACGATGATGAACAAGGTTGTAGACAGAGCAATGGTGACTACCAGCTAAGGCTGCCCGCCTGGGCTCAACCCCGCCCCACTGTGGCAACAGCAGGGAGCCTGATTCACAGCTGCCAGGCATGTCCCAGCTCTGCCTTCTGGGGCCGTGGCTGTTGGCCCAGAAGTGAAATGAAAGGTGTCCCTGTTGCCTGGCCTGCTGGAAAGGGATCGATCGGGTATTTCTCAGGAGCAGACGGGAGGGGCAGCATGGGTCCTGAATGTGTGCTGTCCTGGGCTGGCTCGATTTCCCCAGTCACACCTCTGCAGATGGGCAAGTCAGAGCAAAGGTGATGTAGAAGCCCCCGGGGGTGAGTGGGGGCGCGGAGGAAGTCATGACTGAGCTATTGGTACCTGGCTGGAAATGAATAGGTTGAGTCAAGGCCCCCAACGCTGGCATAGCGGAAAGGCCTGGAGCCAGGGCTCAGGTTCAAAGAAGGCAGCTACAGTCCTGGGCACGAGGCAGAGCCAGGCGGCAGAGCCAGGCGGCAGAGCTAGCACCGTGGCTATGGAGAACATGGCGGCTGCCAAGGAAGGCAGCAGGGAAAATGTGGCTGCAGGAGTGAACCAGGCCAAGCCCAAACCTAGATCCCCTCTTCCATGCTCAGTAGCTGAATGAATCACAGAACTGCATGGAGCCTGGCTCTCCTCATCTGTGTGGACAAGGTGGCCACAGAAGCATGAACTTTGTCAGTCTTGCTCACCTCTGTATCCCAGGCACTCAGACCAGCACGTGGCACGCAGTGGGCAATAACTAAACACACATGGAAGGTAGCTGTCCCCCTCTTCTTTCCAGCTCCAGACTAGGCTCCAAACCCCTAATCTGGTGTCCCTGGCCGTGACCAAGAGAAGCATCAAACCTATGTCATTTCTTTTGAACGTAGATGGCGTGCCAGGCTGCTGTTCCCAGCAACAAACATGCCAAGAGCCTGGGGGACAAATGACAAGGCCAAGTGTTGGCCACAGAATCAAGTACAGGCCTGTGATGCCTTTGCCTCTACGCAAGGGTTCTGGGGCGGCCCGTGGCAGGTGCGGCTCATCTCAGAGGTTGGAGCTGTGATACACACCGGGGCCCTGGAAGGCAAGGAGAGACTCGGGCCTTCCCTTTCTCCGGTGATATCTTGGCAGCTAGGCTCCAGCTGCCTGGGGGCCAGCTCCTCGGGCTAAGTTGGCTCGCAGAGAGTGGAAAATGGAAGACCACTCGCTCAAGGGGTCAAGTGTAGCCTGCAGCCTCCTCTCCCGTCCCAGGGGGGCCTTGTGAGGACCCGCTGAGGTTCAAGATCTGCTGCTCAGTGTCCATCCGGAGCCTGTCCCCGCTGGCCGCCCAGAGAACCTACCTGCACTCGCAGAGCACATCCTGAGAAAATGTCATGTCTACACGAGAATGCTGTTCTTTACCGGGGGCGATCTTCAAGATCTGTGGGAAATAAAAAAAGTTCACTTCCAGTAAGAAGCCGGCAAGGAGCTCAGAGCCGGGACGGGGGCTCAAGAGGACTGGGCTACAGTCATGGACACTGGCTTGGGGCCTGCCTCTGTCCACTTCTGGGTACTTTCTAGAGGTCCTCTGGGCATCTGGATACGGTGTGGGCCATGAGCAGGTGGCAGCATGCTGGGGAAAGCCCTACCTGCATGGTGATGTTGGCCGTCTTCAGTGGCACACAGTGCAGGCTCTCGTCACCGCAGCAGCCACCACAGCGGGTCAGGAGGACACAGGATGGGCTGAATATGTGAGATACCTCATCGGGGTACTCATCCACAATGTCCACCAGCTTCGCCATCGGCCGGCAGTAACTGCGGCCCCACACTTCGCTGAAAGGCACCACTACTGGAAGACAGAAGCGCCAGGTCAGGTCAATAGGGACCCGTTCTGTGATGTCCCGGACTTGGTTCTTGGGTTCAGTTCACACAAAGTTCACCCCTTCCACCAAGCCCCTGGCCCTCCCTGGGGTCCCTCTGCTCTGGATTAATCCTGCCATCACTCTGGGATGTCTGTTGTCCCCTTAGCTCTTTGGGGCTCAAACTCCAATGGAGCAAAATCTCTCAAGGTTCCAAGTTCTCTCGTTCTGTTTTTCTCTCTCTGGTTCCCAGCCTTCCTTGGAGCTTCGAGGACGATGCCCTGGCCACTCCTCAAGCTTCTTTCTTCAGCCTGACCTAGTGCTTCCTGGGCCTTGAGGAACTGGCTGAAAACAGGTCTCGAGCATGCTAGGAGGGGCTAGCCTTCCCTTGCCGTCTGCCCCAACCCCATCATGGCTTCCTCATGTCCTGTCCCACTTGATACCACTCCTTCGCAGCCAAGAGCACGCCTAGCCACGTGGCCCAGCCTCCTGTCTGTGTGGTGCCACCACCCTTTACAGGAGCCGTGACATATTAGTGATGACCACCCCCCCAGCTTTGGAATCTTGCCCTGCATGGTCCAAGGGAGGCCATGTGCCTATGCCCAGCCCCCACTGCTCCTCACAGCCTTCTCCAGCCATTCTACCAGGAGCAGTACTCCGCTCTGGAGCATATCTTAGGTCCCACCATCACTGGTGGCTCTTATCTCCACCAGAGCCAAAATGAGGTTCTGGGAGGATAGGAGCTGACCCTGGTAAACACAGGCTAAGTGACTCCTGACTGATGAGGTGACAGTTCACCAAGGATTACCAGGGACAGTCCCGACCCCCATGATGTCCTGGTGGTGGCGGTGGTGGTATCTCTGAGGAGGGGGGGAAATGATCTGAAATCCCTCCAAACATGTCCCTCCTTTACGGGGTAGCCTGGTACCAAGGCTCCAACACCGGCTCTCAGGGAGCAGCTGACGCCAGGCCATCTGGCTTCAGTCCCTACACTGGCTGTGTGACCTTGGGGAGGTCGCTCAGCCATTCCAGGTATATCGGTTTCCTGCGCTTGGGGGAGAGAAGTGGCCTGGGACTAGATGGTTGCTAAGGTCACTCGGGCCCCGACAGACTGTGGCTCAGTGCCCTGCAGCCCAGCCCTGGTCAGCCTTGAGACGATGCCTGGGTCAGTCTGCTCCACAGCTGATAACCAAGCTGATGGGACGCTTGGGTCCTGGGTCACCTACAAGTCCTTCAGCCTTAACAGAGAACAGTGGCCCTTCCCCGCAGACCCTCACTCCCATGCTCCTTCCTGGGAGGGCAAAGTCCGTTCCACAGATCCAGTGAGGATGTGTGTCTCCGAGTAATCTCAGAAGAGAAACTTCAGGCATGGTGGAGGCAAAGGCTGCAAGCTAGTGGAAAATGCCCAAGAGGCGGCTCGTCCGCGGGGCGTTGTCGGGGCAGCCTCGGAGGCAATAAACCGTATTTATCTAGGCGTCTGGTGTTCCATCCTACCCTGCTCTGCTTTGAAGGCACTAGGGCTAGACCAGGGGCTGGAGGTGGAGGGGTGGGGTCATGGGGACCCTCTGACTCCACTGGACACTCTCCCAAGTGGGATAAGCCAGAGAAACGCTGCCTTTGCAACATGGGTCAGAGGCCACCTCCCTCTCGCCAGCATCTGCGTGTTTAGTCTAAGGCCTTCTTGAACACCGCCACTGTGAACATTTAATCTCAGCAGAGGAGACATAAATAAGGGCCAGGAGCCGTTGGCTACAAAGTATCACAGAGAAACTCAGCCACCAGCCAGGGGCATCAGTGAAGGGGGCCTAGCCCCCTCCTGCCACTCAAACAAACTCTTATCCCACATCCTATTGTGTAAACATTTGGAGTTCCAGGACCCCCAAATCCTTAGACTTGTTTCTTAGTGGCCTAGAAGGGCTGAGAAAGAGCTGAGCTGAGGCCTGGTTTACCTGAAAGCTCCAGGCAATAGGAAAGTCCATCCCTGGAGGTCCCCTGTCTGGGTGTGCAGGAGACACAAAGGTTTGGCGAGAGGCTAGTAGAGGGACCAGAGAACCCACCTGCTCCCTGATGAGGGCTGTGTTTCTGGGGAATGTGTTACGCGATTGCTCCAAAGAGCACTTCTACTAAGTTCAAACCTGTTCTGGGTAGGAAGCGGATGGTGAGAGACCAGGAAGGCTGCTCCTGTCAGGACTGAGGGCCCCTTTGGGGGCCAGAATGGGCCTCTGGGGTACCTGTCTTCTAGCCCCATGAGTGAGCCGCCTCACTCAGCTGCCTCAGCTGCATTCTATCCATAATGGAAAACCTCTGGGAAGGGCACTGTTTAATCCTGATGGCAAGCTCCTGGAAAGCCCTCCTCAGTAACCACTGGCCACCAGCCGGAGCTTAGCTGGTGCCCTCCTCACTGGCAAGGCACCCAGCCAGCCTGTCACATGGGACAGTCTACTCATGCCTGTTCATCTCCTGTGCGGCTTGGAGGCCTGGGTCTAAGCTGCCGGCTCTGCCAGATACACTGAAGGGTGCCTAGGGCTTTGGTTAGTCCCAGGGGCCTCCCTAAGCCTCAGACTCTTCGTCTGGGAAATACTGGGACCTTCCTATTTCCCAGCCTGTGGTCAGGCTAAGTAACAGAACACACCCATCCCTGGACCCGGGAAGAAAGGTGGTGAAAATCAGTGCCCATGGCTTCACCGTGCTGCCCCTGACTGGTGTTAGGAGGAGGGGATGGTAAGGCCAGATTTTAATAGTTGCTAAATACGTGTTTCGCCGGCCACAACAAAGGCCTGCTTGCTTGTTAGGATTACAGATGAGCTGGCCTACAGTCTGTCTGTACCTTCAAGCCTTCTTGCCCAGGATTCTGGGAAGTATTTACACTCTTGCCTCTTCCAAGGACTCAGAATCTCACAGCCTTGGGGAAAATTCTTTGATAGCAAATCCTTATCTAGCTCTCCCATTTCACAGATGAAGAAACAGAGGCTGAGGCATCTTTGGAAGCTGGTGTCTGATCTACATACTAAAATCATCAATGAAGGGTGTGATGTGGGCAGAGGAGATGCGAACCTCCTCAAATCCCCAGGGAGTGTAATACTGTGCCAGTTCCAGAGGGCTCAGAAAACGGGCAAGTCCATAAAATGGAGGCAGCCACCTCTCTCTCTCCCGTTCAGTGGTCTAGGCTTCAGGTGTGAGAGCATTCACAGGTAGAGGACAAGACGATCAGGGGGCTGGGGAACAGACGAGGGCCAGCAGAGGGTGTTCCCAGCCCATGACAGCAATCCAGCTATTATCTGTGTCTGTGAGGACATCGTTACAAGCACACCCCTTCTCCCATGGAGCTGTTAGATGCCTTGGCAACGGTACGTGGCCATCCTCCATGTCTCAGAGAGGCAGGAAGGGAGAAGGAGGAAGGACCTGGCACGAGCTCCCTGCTCTCTGCTTGTGTGTCTCTTTGGCAAAGGTCCTACTGCCCTTTGAAGATTATGTCTTGACACAACCCAGGGCAGAGAGTGAAAGGGCCAGGGAGGGTGTGACACAGCCTGCCTGTTTGTAATCAATGGAAAGGCCTGGCCAGAGCTGCACAGCTCCACCAGGGTTGGGATACTGGGGAGGCGGACTCTTCATTCTGACCAAGCCCCTTGACTGCTTGCCTGCTCCATCCAGCTCCCAGACTCCAGCCCGGCCCCTGGCACTCGGCATCAATCCTGTCCACCAGGACCCCATCTGCAGCCTTACAGCATGCTGGGCAGAGGCCCTGAGCCAGCTGGATGAACCCTGGCTACCCCGTCCTGCTTTCTGTGTGCCTGGTGACCCTAACCCATGACTGCATCTCTCTAGGTCACAGGAGGTGTACTCTTGGGCTTCGACCAGGATCTAGCTTGCAGACCCATCCCAGATTGCTACTGGCCTGCTCCCACCCTTCAGACCAATCCCTTCTCCTCTGCTGGGGCTCACGCGGAAAGAGGAGATAGGCTCAGCTTACAGAGCTGGCCTGACTGGCTTACCTTCCTTTTCTGTTGAGTTGTTCCCAGCAGACAGGGTCCCCTGCAATGGACACAAAGGTGCAGCCATGAGGAGGGAGCGTCTTCGTGGGGCTTGGCTCTTTGAGGCCACCCTGAGCTCCTCCCCATCCTCCACACACAACCTGTGCTGCCTCCTGTTTTGTGCTGCCAAAAACTACCTGACTCTCTGGCCTCAGTTTCCTCATTTGGGAAAGGGTAGGGGGCTTCTTGTGTTCCAAAGTGCATGTAATCCTGTGGGGTCTCTCTTTAACCCAGCCCCCAGGGCTGGGCCTTCTACAGCCCGCCTTGGCTGGGTGCCAGAGCCCAGGGGGAGGTGATCAGCTGGTGGGAGCTCAGGGGCCGAAGAAGGCGGCGCCATGAGCTGGTGCTGCCTGCCAGTAACGCTACACCTCTGGCTAACACTGCAGCAAGCAGGCTGCTAGTCTGGCTGCTCAGCAAGGCGACTGCACAACCCACCCACTCCTGGGCCGGGGCTGAGGACTCCCAGTGCAGCGGGCAGTGCAGCGGGCAGTGCAGCAGGAAGGGAATGCATTGGCTTTGTCAGGATTTTGCTGCCCAATCTGGCTCCCGGCCAGATTCACCCAGCTCCTGGGAAAAGGGATCTGCTCACTTCCCCAGGCCCTGCACTCAGGACCTCCTGCCACCCACCAGGAGAAAAGGGCATGGCAGGATCCCTTGTCATATCTGAAGCCCACCCAAAAGACCCCTGCTCACTGGTGGGGGAAGGGCCTCACCCCCCACCCCAAGCTTCTCCAGCCAACTTCTTCCCTGCTAGGATGGGTCAGAGGGTCCTGGGGGTGCCTGGTTGGTCATAGGGCCGAAATCCTGACCACAACGTCAGGGAACTGACTTGGGCTAGTGGACAGATGCCTTTTGCAAAGCCACTAGGGCTCCAGGGGCCAGACAGGAAACCTCCCTCATTCCATGTGGCTTCCCTGCCCCCACTAAGACAGCCCCCAGGAGTTGGGGACTGCCCAGCCAGAGG